TTCTTTCCCTCCCTCCTTCCTTCTTTCCCTCCCTCCTTCCTTCTTTCCCTCCCTCCTTCCTTCTTTCCCTCCCTCCTTCCTTCTTTCCCTCCCTCATTCCTTCTTTCCCTCCCTTCCTTCTTTCACCTCCTTTCCTTCTTTCCTTCCCTTTCCTCTTCCTCCCTTTCTTCCTTCCTTACTTTCTTTTCTTTCTCTTTCTCCCTTCCCTTCCCTCCTTCCTTCTTTCTCTTTTCTTTTCTTTTTCCTGTCTTTTCTTTCAACAGAGTCTCACTCTGTCGCCCAGGCTGGAGTGCAGTGCTACAGTCATAGCTCTCTGTAACCTGGAACTCGTGGGCTCAAGCAATCCTCCCATCTTGGCCTCTCAAAGTGCTGGGATTACAGGCATGGGCCACCTTGCCTGGCCTGACTACATAAATTTCAAATGTAATAGAGAAATATATGTTCCTCTAAGACTTTGCAGTGGACAAAGATCCTTCATGCCCATTGTTTTATTTCATTCTTCTAACAGTGCTGGCAGGTTGGTGGTATTATCTCTATTTTGCAGATAATAAACCTGAGGCCCAGAGAGAACAAGGAGACTGTCCCAAGGTCCCATGGTGAGTTAGGACTGAGATCTTGGCATCGTGCTTAGACACAACTGCCTCTCCCAGTGGTCTCAGAACTCCCTAAGGTCAGAGCGGCATCTCCTTCTAGGCTGTCTCCTCTTGGCCTCCCATCCGGCAGGCTGTGTGCTCCCAAGAGCCGTGGGAGTGGGGGTCTCCTCACCCAGCCTGTTCCAGGTCTTTGCATACCAGAGGGACAGGCAATCTGTGGCAATCTGAGCCAGTATTTACGGAGGGCCTGGGATTCCTCACCCTTCAGGTGCTCGCAGGGCTGGGAAGGTGTGGCACCAGAGGGTAGGGAGTGTGTGTTCGAATACAGGTCAAGGCAGGGTGCACTTGGCTGAGCAGGGCAGAGCAAGCTGCCCGAGGGGCGGGTTTCGGATGGGAACTTGAAGATGCCAAGGGTGCCTGAGGTGGGGGTGGAGCTCCCCAAGCAGATAAATGAAGGTGCGAACGCTGGGGCGTATCTCGAGCAGAGTGGCCTCGGGAGGGGTGGCCGGGGTGGGCTGCGTGAGTAGGGGCCGGCCGGGCTCTAGTTGGGAAACTCATCGCCTCTCCTGCGGCCGCTGTCCCCACCCTCCCCCGGTCAGCCGGGCCCAGAAGCCAGAGCCTGCGGTTCCCGTCGTCCCGAAGTGCGAGAAGCGCAGCCGCAGCCCCGCGCCCAGGTGCCCCGGGAGTCCGTTCCCGGGCCTTGGTCTCCCCCCTCTGTGCGACGCCACAGGAAGTCCCGAGACGCCGCCTCTGCGCGGCCGACCCTCTCACGCGCCTGCAACACGTGGGCCCGGCGGGCGGGGTGCGGGGCGCTCGGCGTTCCCCCGGCCGGGGTAGGCGGCTGCACCCAGAGCTCCCGGAGCGCCCGAGGTCGCCGGCCCTCCCCCTGTCGGGCGGGGCCGCTGCCCGGCCGCCCCTTTATCTGCCGGCTCCGCCACCCAGGCCGCCGCGGCCCTCCCAGCTCGGCTTCGGCTCAGGTACGGGGCTGCCGAGACGGGGAGGCAGGGGTGGCCGCAGACCGGGGTGCTCCCCACGGGGCGCGGCGGGCCGTGGGGGCTGGGCGTAGAAGGGGCAGGGCTCCGCGGCACAGGGGCGGACGTGGGGACCCTGGGAGGACTGGCAGGAAGCGGAGCCGGAAGGGAGCACCCGGGCAAGCATCCGGCTGAAGATGCAGGAAGGAGGAGCTCGCTGGAATTGGGCGTCTTGGGAAGGATGGGAGGAGCAGAAGGAGCACTGGGGAGGATTCTGATGGGGGGGCCTGAGAGCCTGTTTGTCCAGTGAGCAGGGGAGGGGAGCACTGCTGGGGCAGAGTGAAGGTTGGGGGCCAGGGAGTGGGCAGGGGCGTCTGGCCTGGGTAAGGCCGCTGCCTTTCTGGAGGAGGACAGTCAGGGAGCTCACTGCTTTCTGGAAGAGGAAGTGAAGTGAGACCGGGGAGGGGTGTGGGTGAGCAGAACCGGCTGATGTGAGGGAGTCCCACTTAGGGACCCAAGAACAGTGGGAATAGCACTGCTGGGGGTCAAGAGGGGGGCTTGCTCCAAGGGCCCCAGCAGCCTAGACACCTTGGGGGAGGGGGGATCCTCCCCTGGCGTCAGAAGAGCATGGGGGTTCCCCACACACAGTGAGGGAAGGGGACGGCTGCAGCACTTGCCTCAAGGCTGCAGCCTTTGAAGACTCCAGACATTTCCCTGTGGCAGCCCCTGGAGGAGGCCTGTGGGGCTAGGTCAAGCCAAGGCCTCGAGTCTGAACAGTTTGATGGATTCTGAGCCTGGTTGCTCCTGGGTGGATCACCCAGGACCCCATATCTGAGCTCCTATCAGAGAGAGGGACCCAGCATCTGGTCATGAAGCCTGTGCCACCTCTGGGTCCCATTGTTGAGAGCCTGCCCCTCTCCAGCCTGAGTTTCTCTGCCCAGAGTTCCTTGCTTGTCAGCAGTGATGCTCAGGTCCTTTTTCTGTGCCTTGTGCTGGGTGACTATAGCTAGCTCACCCAGCCTCTCTGGGCCTGAGAGACTCCCCCTCCTCAGAGGTATTGTGAGTCTGAGCTCCATAGAAGAATTTCTTTAAGAATTGTTTTCTTGGCCAGGTGAAAATCCTAGCACTGGCCGGGCGCGGTGGCTCAAGCCTGTAATCCCAGCACTTTGGGAGGCTGAGGCGGGTGGATCACGAGGTCAAGAGATCGAGACCATCCTGGTCAACATGGTGAAACCC